ATGAAGCTTTCCACACTGGGCAGTGGTGACTTTAGATCCCTTTTAGCTAACAGTGCATGTGCAATTACAGCACACACACACACACACACACACCACACGAGCATCTCTTTGGGTTTGCAAATTATTGTAATGGACTTCGGAACCTTGCCTCCGTTGCTCTTTATGGAGTCTTGTTTGCAATGCTCCTTTAAAAACCCTCTGACTTCCCTTCATTTCAGAAAAGGTGCAGTCAGATCTCCTTCACAAGTACCAGAGCAGAGATGACATCCTTATCTTGACTGTGCGGCTGGCTGTCATCGTGGCTGTCATCCTCACTGTACCGGTGTTGTTTTTCACAGTAAGTAAAGGACCTCACTGTCACAGGAGAAACACTGGCCTTGGGACTTTCATTCTGACCACAGGATCCTGTTTCCAGAGAAGGTCTGCCACAGGCGGCTTTTCTGGTCATCAACTTGTACCTCGGCCCAAGTCTCTTAGGCAGCAAGTGGAAGTGGGATTCAGACATTAGTGTAGCTTGTAGGGGCTGACTCTGCATTCTGACCTCCCACCGTTCTCTTTGTAGAAGAATATAGATAGAGCTGTTGCACCCCTGTCTTACTTGACCACAGAAACCACCCAAGTGGAAATTACCCCACCCAAAGGGAAGCTTGCTGTGTCATATATAAGGATCCTGAGAGTTGGAGCCAAGCCCCCATAGCTTCAAACAGCTATGCCACCTCTGAGTTTGCCGAGCATTGAGAAAAAGTCTTGACAAATCCCATGCGTTAGTAAATGACTGAGTTCTTCTGTTGAGAGTGGAGGGTCAGCGAACGCCTGGAGCCCTTGGCCATTTCCGCTTCCCCCCTCCCCCCACAGGTTCGCTCATCACTGTTTGAACTGGCTAAGAAGACAAAGTTCAACTTGTGCCGCCACATCTGGGTGACCATCGTACTCTTGGTGATCATCAACTTGTTGGTGATCTTTATTCCCTCCATGAAGGATATTTTTGGAGTTGTAGGTATGGTTTTATAGTTGTCCTGCAGCATACAGAAGCTATTTATGCTTAACACTCGGAAATGGCGGCCCTCAACAATTGCTCTCTTAATCTGCAGGAGTGACTTCGGCCAATATGCTCATCTTCATTCTTCCTTCGTCTCTCTACCTAAGAATCACAAACCAGGATGGAGATAAAGGCACTCAAAGAATTTGGGTATGTCTGCTGCCAGCCACTCTAATTTTTCTGATTACTTTCCTAGCTAAACTTGCTGGTAAGCAGTCTTCTAACAGAACTTTCAGTTTGCAGTGAAGGGTGTGTCGGTCCTTTAGATTTCCCCTTAGGAGATCCAGAGCCCTTTCCGTCCTCACGGTCGCTTTTCCAGTGTGGCTCTGACTGGGCCTTGCCTGTGTTCTCACCCAGGGCATGGCTGGCTTGAGAGTGGATGTTTCCAGCCCTGTGTCTCTGTAGAGTAGTGCCTTATCTTTAGCAAGATGAGAAGTCAATGAGGACTCAGAAGACTTTGATGCTATCTACCGTCCCCCGATGATTTATGACCATGTGACTCCCTTGCACAACTCAGGACAAGGCGATGCTCTTACACACCAAATATTGGGAGTTAGCATAGGGAGGCTTTTTTCTGATGGCAGGTGATGTGGATTCAGAGCTGCCTTTCTATGTCAGGACGGTTGTTTGTAGATCTGGTGACATTCAAGGGCACCTTGAGAGTGCCGTGCTTGGACAGTGAGGGGAGCAGGGGAGACTCAGTCCTGTCTGGGGTATCTTTTTGCCTGGCCTCAGAGAAGCCCTCTCAGCCACCTCCCAGGTGGTGTAGGCACTGCGGTCACGTGTGTCACCTTCATCTATGGACCCAGGGGAGAGTGGCAAGCAAGAGTCCGTTCACCGTGCACTTTGGTCTGGGGTCATTAATGCTGGTAGAACTCTACTTCCCCAAGAGAATTATCCTCAAAGCATGAGTCCCAGATTCTCTAGCCCCGTGCAGGGAGTCCTCACAGGGCAGTGAAACCCACTCATACTAAAGCTATAAATAGCAGAGTCCCCACGAGTTCCCTAGGCTTCTCCAGTCCTTGCTCCCACAATAAAACTGGGGTCTCTCAAAGGGCACTAGACAGGAGCTCTGTTTGAGCAGGGAGAGCAGAGTGTTAGACCCACTAGCCCACCATTTACCACGCTTTCCTTACCGTTTCCCCCAGTTTTCAGGCCAGCCCCTGGCTCTCAAGAGCACTCCGCCCCTGCACAGTTTGTCATGAAGGCCAAGCTAATATGTCCCAGGTGCTGAACTGTCTGATCCACTTGCGCCCTTCACCAATCTTTCAAGCAACTGAGTTTTGCCTTGCTGTCAATCCACTGAGATCAAATGAACACGTAGGACACGCTTACAAATAGAAACATTTGCTTCTCAGTAGCAATGCTGGTTGATAGGTAATAGCCTCGATCTATTTCCAAACTTTTTTTTTTTTTAGTTGTAATTTTTTTTAAAGTAGGGTCTCACTCTGTAAGCATGGCTGGCTTGGAATTCCTATATAGACCGGGCTAACCTGGAAGCCGCAGAGATCTGCCTGCCTCTGCCTCCCAAGGGCTGAGACGAAAGGAGAGTATCCCCACACCCAGTTCATTAGGTTGTAATCCTTTTAAAAAAGGAAGTCGTAAGGGAGACTCAGTCATTTGTGCCATGGACACACCCAAGGTGACCCAGAAGCCAAAGTGTAAAATGCAGAGGACCAGAGCCGTTTTCTGTTTGCCCATTCTGGCAGGACCACATCCACCCAGTTTAGAAGAGTCTGAAAAGTTCAGCCGTGGTTGTAATGGACTCCAAACACCACGGGACCCAGAGGAGAGGGCAGAGCGTTCCACTCTTCCTCCAGGGACCTGAGGGAAGTGCCGGTACATTTGAAATAACCCATGTTTCGTTGCTTCAGGCGGCCCTTTTCCTGGCGCTGGGGGTGTTGTTCTCCCTGATCAGCATCCCGCTGGTTATCTATGACTGGGCTTGCTCGTCCAGCCACGACGAAGGCCACTGAGACCGGCAAAGGAAAGCCAGCACCTGCCCCCGCCCGCCCAGCCAGTCACCCATCAGCAACCCTTCGCCACTTCTTTTGCAAGTTTACAGACAGACGGAAATGCACATGACAACACCCGGGCTGTGACACAGAGACCCGCTCTGGAACGACTCGTGTCCTCCTGGGATCGTGGATTTTATCTCTCCCAGGTTTCATGCAGTCATCTTTCCCTCTCGTTACGTGTTGTGGCTCCTTCTCAGTCCCTTAGAACTCTGAAAACACCATCATCGGGTGTATTTATTTGTCAGACACCGGGTTCTGAAACCGTTTTCCTACTGACGTCACCGCTCACACTATCTGTATCTTTTTAGAAAAGAAAATAATCTTAAATTGTATATATTTATTTTGCTTTACAGAAAAAAAAGGGTTTCAGGAAAAAAAAGGTTTCATAAATACTTTGCCTATTTTGGTTAACATAGCACACAGGGGTAATCCTTTGAAAGACAGGTTGCCTGCCATTGCTGCATCTGAGCATGCCCAGTATTCGAGGCGGCTCTGGTCACCCAGCATGGGCTGTCCTGGACCTGCTGGTACTCCATCCTGCTCCCACATGGAGCTAGTCCCTGGGAGTGTCTGTGGCTGGGCAGGGGTGGGCATGGCACTTGTGGAAATATATTGAAATGTGCATTTGGGAGAGCTCACAAGGGAAGCTTTGTTTTCCCCCTTGACATCTGATGTCACAGGTAACTCTAGGCTGAATCACCTGCTTGGGGGCCCCTGGCTCCTGCAGTGATGAATGAGACTGCCCCAAAGCCTAAGGAAACACTCCTGCTGCAGATGCCATCAGTCTACACCTGTATCACTGAAGGGGCAGGGGGCATGTGTGATGTGTTCATTTATGAGCCCGGCATCATTTAGTCATGTCCACCAGCTTTTTGCAACAGAGAATAATGTGTACCTAAGGATGGCCTGTCTTAGGTCGTCCTCTTTTGTATTGGGTACTTTACTTTAGGGGAGTCTTTAAAAGACTTGTTTTATATCTATAAATCTAGGTTATTACAAATACAAGAGTTTTGTACCTTAAATAAGCCTCATTTCTATTCTCCGTTAACTCTCCATCCAATATTGAAGGTAAATCTTCTGAGATAGTCTTTGTGGAAAACTTCTGAAGTCACGGTGTCCCCTCTTGCCCGAGCTGGGGAGGACAAGAGGCCCTTCCTCATCCGTGTTTCTTCCTGTTATCCCTCTACTGCCTGTTCCATGTGACCCACGCAAGAGGGCAGAGTCTCCTATGTTCTCCCTAGCACCTCCCGAGGGGACCAGAAAAAAATGACAAGGAGACTGAAAACTACAAGAGCTTTGGACATGGCAGCTAGGGAGCCCAGAGCCGCGTGTCCTGCTGGTGGCCACCTGCGGCTGGCCATAACTGCGGCTGGTCATGGCTTATTTACAGTAGGAAGTGCACATGCTGTGAGCACAGTGTGCCCCCAGGGCTCGTTTGCAGCCAGATGTATTCTGGTTGAATTCTCAGATACAAAAATGCACTGTGCACAGATTTCTTACCTAGAAACAGGTAGGATCTAATAGAGAGTTGGCAGAGGACCCAGACGCTTAGCTGTAGACTCTTTCTGCTGACTAAAGTCCCCAAAGCTCTTCAGGAATCTCATGAGAGTCTCACAGAGATGTCCCTTTGTACAATCAGGTCCCTTAGATAAGGTAGGTGTCCAAGGTCCTGCCACCATCCTCCTGGGAAAGAAGGAAAAGCTACTTCCTGTATCACATCATCACCTTGGTACAGTGCTTCAGAGTCTGTTGGCCTTGAGCTCAGACAACTGAACTCCGGGGCCTAGATAGGAAAAGGGTAAAGCCCACAGCTGCCTCTGCCCTTTGCGGAAATGCTCTCCATGTCATGGGGAATGATAGAAAATTTGTAGCTTGTTCGGCACTGTTTAAAATGTATCGACTCAGTTTGCAAGCCATCCAGCCCTTTGTTTTCCTCCTTATTCTGTAACCATCCTTCATCCTTTTTACATTCACAAAGTGAATTCAAACACTCTCATTAACTCTGGGATGTGCTGTGATTTTGGATCTCTGGATTTCATGTGTTGGTAAAATTACTGTATTATTTACAGTATATTTATTTGCAGGAAGCACATTGTTGTTGATGTTTGTGATGTGTGTTTTATTTTAAAGCTCCTTTATGTACGGCCCCGAGTTTGTTGGACTGTAATAGACCCTACTGTCATTCTTCAGGGACCACAGATGAATTCCGTGCTTTCTGTGGTATTTCCTGTATACTGTTCTTACTCTTGTTCAGAATAATGAACTGGTAGCCAAAATATACCTGTATCACAGATGTTAGTTAGGATTCAACAGCACAATCAAATGCAATAGACATTTTCCTGCTAAATTCGTAGACCCGAGAGTAGTAGACCTTAGCTGTGGGAAGCGGTGCTTTCCATTGGCGCATAGGATCTCCATACTGTTGGCCAGGGCCAGTATCATACAATGTCCTCTGGCCGTTGTAACACAGAATACTGTTGATTCCTAGCTTAGTGTTGCTGGTTAGAAGCAGGATTAGCAGAATGTGCAGAAAGAAAACCCATCTTTTAGGCATGGACAGGCAGCCCCCAGGTCACAGGGAGAATGTAACTCCAAAGTGTTGTAACCTGGAATGGGTTTTCTGTGACTGGGTTGTATGTGATAATTTGGCCCCAGAGCAGCGGGGAAAGACTGCCAAACCTAGAGTTGGGGTGCAATGGAATAGTGCAACAGGACTGCAGAAGACAAACCCCCAGATAGAACTGGGGGAGGGGGGTGTGGATTCAGACTCACCAAGAGTAAACCATGGCCTGTTGTTGTGGAATCCAGACTTCATCTCTGCCACAGTGTCTGCTGGACACTGAGTTTGGGGTTCCTGCAACATTAGAGGAACTAAGTTCAGAAACGGGCTGGTAGGGTAGTGATAAAGGAGGAAGAGGGATTCCTTAGCTACCCACCTTTTGTTTTCTCCAAAACTACCAAACTTGGCCTGGCTGCTTCCGGTTCTGTGGCCTTTCCCTCCTAGAGTTTGCCTCCTTCTTGGCCACTAACACCACATCTCCTTGCAGGAGAGCCATCTTTGAGAGCAGCACACGACACTTTTAATATCTTCTGTCTCAACCATGATTTAGCTGCTCGGTAATCAGACACAAAATGGGTCAACATCTACTTTCTTTCTTGTATGTTTATGGACCATATTGAGAAGTGTAAGAGCACCATTGGGGTGGGTTGCAGATGACCAAGGTCTGCGGTAAGATGTCTCAGTGTTTCAGAGGATACCTCCAACAATTATGCCAAGAATTCTGGAGTTCAGCTCAAGCCCCCAAGCTGGTGTTTCTCAAATTGTGGCCCCCAGGCAAGCAGCATGGACCGCATCTACAGACACATCAGAATGCCAATCCTCCGTGTTGCCAGATGCCGTGGACGACGCAACCTGTTCTCTGCGAGTCTCAGGTCTAGACTCCAGGTGATGCCAGCCGCATCAATTTGGGAGCCACTCTTGAGCCAATCTCCTGTCAATCACAGCTCAGAAGATAGTTCCCGGGGTGAGGAATTAGAGCCAGGACTCAGAAAGGGAGGGAAAGAACCCCAGCCAGTGTCTCTGCAAATGAAGGAGACATCTTGTGTGAGACCCCTACCTGTGTCCCCTCCTGCTGGAAGTGCATGAGTAAAACTCAGGGTGCCTGCACTTTAGGGGAAATGGCCTAAGGCACTAACATATTTTCTTACAGTTGTGAAGACACCGAATTGAGACTTTACAAAATGTAGGTAAATTTAAATGCCTTATTAGAATGCAACTCCACGGGTATCGCTGAGTTTCAAGGAATTGGTTCTCCAAGAGGACTGTGTTCGTGGTTGGCTAGAGAGCCAGCCTGCTAGGTGCAAGGCCCTGGTGAAGTTCAGTCCTGGCATTGGAAAAATATAAAATACCTGTACAATAAGTAGTCTAGTGAAAGGTCCGCACTGCTGTGGGAGCTGCCAGGGGCTGTGCAGGAAGAGCAGAGCCCAGCCTGTCTCTGGAGCTTGGTGTGAAATGGCATTGTTAATCGGAGTAGGGCAGAGGTGGTTAGTATCATATGCATGGTCTATGCCTTAGGGCAAAGCTTCCGTTCATTCATCAAGGGGATAGGCTTTAAGAATGACATTGCCGGGCAGTGGTGG